CGGTATTTGCTCGGTATTTTTATCAACGATGCCAACTCCAAACTCGTCTCCTGCCCGAGTGGACCGCCGCCGCCTCAAATCCTTCAAGAACAGTTTTGTTGGAAGTAAGATGCCTACCGAGAGAGAACTGGACCTCGGCGAAGGCAGCAAATGCAGAGGGAAGTGAGGAATTTGAGAAGAGTGTAGAGATATTAAAAGAATCGTTCTTTTCACTGGCGGAGGGAGTCCGCCTGAAGGCTTGGAGCAGATAGGATTTTTTTTTTTCAAATCCAGCAGTTTCCATCCAACATGATACCTTCTCTCTCTCTATATGGTTTGTTAATCACCTATTAAAAGTGATTTCCCGATTTGATTGTTAATCTTTGTCCGCCGGAAGGCATCGTTGGCGGAGCGAGAAGAAGAGGATAACCTCTCCTCTTGCTCTTCTTCCGCAGAAGAGTAGCTTCTCACGCTGCCTGGCGAGAAATGCCGCAAATACCAAGCATCTGAAGCTCCGTCCCGATCTCAAGCGAAGAAATGCCGCAAATACCGAGCAAATACCGAACAATACCGAGCAAATACCGAGTAGTACCTTACAATACCGAGCAATACCGAGCAAATACCGAGTAGTCCCTAGCAACTTCGTAGAAATACCGAGCATATTCGTTCCGGGTTGGGTCGTCGGGCCGCGCGATAAAGAGTAAAAGCACGTGGCGATATATTATAGGCTACCTGATGTATCTCTACGTCAGGTAACCTGAGGCAATAAAAATTCCATTTGGAGGAGGTTTCATGGTATAAATTCATTTGGCACAAGAAATTCTATTAGATTTGCTTGCTATGTGTGAATGGCAATTATTGGGAAACTGAAATGTGTTGATCTCCTTTTTAAGAGGAGCATTCTAATTGACCCGGCTTGCCCATACTACCAAAAGTTCTCTTGGAACTCACCATCACCTATTCTTTGAATGTGACTTCTCTTTTATTGTGCTTACAACTATGTTTCTAGTTTTTAATTCTTTCTTTCTTAGACCAACTCTCATGCAAGCTTATGATTTTTTGGACAAAGTGCTTCAATTCAATACTTTGGTGAAAAACTTTTGTTTCTTTTTAATTGGCTGCATCATCTACCATATTTAGAGGGAAAGAAACAATCTACGTTTCTCTAATTCTTGGGACAACCAAAGCACTGTCATACATGCAATTAAAGTGACTATCAGGTTTAAAGTTAGGTATTAGAATAGTTTTGACAAACAAAAAGATAGGTTTGCTGGGATACTTTAATTTAGAAATTTGGGGGTTACTGCTTCTGATTCGGTTCTTCATTTCTGAATGATGATGAACAAAGCTGCAACTTTGATGGCTTGTTTTTTGGATTTTGGATATCTTGCTGATCCCATGGGATGGCCCCTGTGCCTACCACTTTTAGCTTGGGCAGGCACAGCGTAAACCTAGGATCTCGTCGATTGTTTATGCCTTATGCCGCCTCTGTTTCTATTCTAATCAATTTTGATCCGTTTTGACCAATTTTGCTACAATTTGTTGTGGGGCAAGTGGGTTTTGCTCTTGTACTTGTTTTTAGTTGTTTTCTTCTCTTACAGGTTTTGTTTTTACACTTACATGTAACTGGCCTTAGTTATTAATTCATGGGCTTTTGCCCTGAGTTTTTCAAAAAAAAATACAAAAATTCTGCCACAGACATTTCTTCTAGGCATCAATATCTTTTTCCAAAAAGAAATGGTTGACACTCGTACTTCATTTACTCACTGATAAAAATAAAATGTAATTATTTTATTAAAATTTTTAAGCGTAGCTTTTCTCAATGCTTGAATCAATTGTGCAAACTGAACGAATCAATGTATCTTTTTTTTTTTTCTAAAATTTATCAAGAATTTTACGAATCAATGTATCTTGAACAGAGCTTTGATCATATTTAAAGAAGGCCAAAAAGTTCAGATTACCTCCTTAAATTTACGTCACTATTAATAAACAATTCATGCGTTTAATTAACTTTTAAAAAAAAAAAAAATATGAATGATAATGGCAAAAATGTTGTTCAGATTCTTAACCTTGGATAGACAACTTAATATCATGCAAGCCAACTGATTAATACAAAACTTAATATAATAACTCACAAACTAATATGGCTGACAATTAACATAAAAATACTTTAAATGGAATTTAAATTCATTAGTTTTAACTTAATTAAACTTATATTCATTAGTTTATATACATATCTATTTGCTCTTTCATTAAATCCTACGGACAAAATCATTAACCATTCGCAAGATTTACTTCTCTATTATCAAAACAATTCAAAGACGAGCACTTCTCAAGGCAAAAAATGATGAGAATGAGGACAAAGCTTAGCTCATGGTGAAGAATACAGTTTCAAGTTGCAAAGCAGCATTCTTCAGATCAAATACACAAAAATAGCACCAACTTCAAAGAGAATAGAATATAATAGAATAAAAAAAAAAGTGTTGCAAGAATGTTGGAAAAACATAGAAGCTTTGCTGCATGCACAAAATATGTTCCAAATAACACATGAAGTAGCTGATTTAATCAAATATCCGGTAGGAAGAATGCATAATAAGGTTCTTAATGTGCATGCTATGCTGATCAGCTTTCGAATGAAATGCATATTCCTCATTTCCCATTTTCTATATAACCCAAACTTAAGCAAATAAAAGCTTATCAAAGGCATGAAACAAGCCAATGAGTTCCAATCCTTCCAATGAAATGAAACAATAAATAAAATATAAATTTATTGTTTGCAAAAAACTGAGACAGTAAGTATTATGTAACAGATTCAAAGCCAAGCAGACAAAATCAAAGACTATATATAGACCACGCACATGAAATTTATGAGACCAGCGAGAAAGATAAAAGGCAACACCGTTATCCCTGCAGAGCAGAGCATATAACCTCTGTTACAAACCAAAGCTCCCATGTAATTAGCATCAGGCATGACCAAACATAAGCCGAGCATTTGTTTAGCATACAAAAAGCTTATCCATTTAGTTTTGAAAATGAGACCCAACCTGAATGAAATAAGATATTAACGGGCTAGTTCACTGAATATCACCTTCAATTAACTATAGTTTAATGAATACAAGGTCTTCAGATGAGCTTTAGTAGGCAAAATGCCTTTTATCATTGCTGGTTGCATATATATATACTTTATTATAGAATAAGAAGAAAATGAACAAATTAGCTATAGAGGAATGAACAAAATTTAATAGTTGTGTTATATTTAATAAAAAATTAAAAGAGAAACACTTCAAATTATAGAGACGAATAACTGATGATGGAATAAACCATTTGATTTTTAATAATATATTTTCTAATGATGAATGGATAATAACAAAAAATAGTAAAATATTTAAAATTGAAAATGGAGGCATGCATTTGATGATGAATGAATGAAAATTTATATTACATTGAATTTAATGTTAATTAATATGGGGAGTTAAAATAAACGTTATAATTGAAGAATATTTAAAAGATGATAATGAGTTATAATTCGAGGATAATATAATCATTACATACGCGGGCTATTATGAAGAATATGAAAGTAAGAATGAGGCTGCCATGGATTATAATATTTATGATGTATTTAAGTTTTAAATGAGTGTTTATTTTGAATCTCATTTTAAATTTTCATTTTATAATAACATTTAATATTGGGAATTGTAGTTTATTATCTTTATAATGATGAATAAAATAAATAGCAATGTTTAAAATTGTGTATTCGGGTATTGAGGCGTTTTTCATTCGTGAGGCGAGGCGTAAGCCTCAAGGCGTTTTGAGGCGTAAGCCTCAAAATCAAAAGATTGCGTAAACATAAAACGATAAATTTTTTATATAATAATGAGTGAATAATATAAAACATAAAAAAGTATAAGATATGAAGTAAAATCAAAATATCTCAATAATAAGACAACATGAAATATAGTTCAACTCAAAATTCTATCTTTCCCAAATCCCAATATTCTTTTCATTAACATATAATTCAAATTTCCAAAAATAAATAGCAAAGACATATCACATAAGAACTCATAAGTCATCAACACTGTCATCACTAAGGGGTTCTTCATTTGAATCATCATTATGATGAAATGCTCTCTCCCCTTACTCCTCTCCTATAGAGTCCAATGTCGAGCATTTACTTCAAGATTTATGTAAGTTTTAATATATATAGCGTGAGGCGTAAGCCTCATGCCAATGAGGCGAGGCCAGCCTCAATGCGGGCCTCAACCAAGTTGAGGCGCAAGCCTCATAAAAAAAACTCGAGGCGTAAGCATCGAAGCGTTTTTTACTGGAATTGCGCAAAGGCGAGCCTCATATTGCGCAATTTTAAACCATGATAAATATGTGATGTTTTATTTTACTCTTGTCATTTTTTATAAATTATTTATAAGTTCATGTGTTTTTATTTTTTTGTTTTGAGGCTTATGCCTTGCCTCGCTAAGTCAAAACACATCAATTTTCGATTTCACCTTTTTAAACATTAATTAAAATAGTTATCAAGTTCACAATATAACCCTTTTCAATGTTTTTGTGCACCATTAGTTTTACGTTGTGACCAATTTATTGTATTCATATGCATATGTTTCATAGCTTTATAGAATAAGCTATCAAGTGATCAATCACCGACATATAACAAAATTGGTATAAATGACGGCGTGGACTTATAATCTTCTTGAGACGGACCACGTGGAAAAAAGCGGGGGTAGCGGTGGGGTGTGGCAAATTTTCCTTTTGCATGTAGTTTGTTTTTCATGGCATAAAACATATGGAATAAACTTTATATGATCCTTCACAACTCTGAAATTCTTTCAACTCTCAAGAAAGGGTATTTTACCAGTGATACAGTAACTTGAAGATCAAGTTATGTAGCAAAAAAGTGGTAAGAAAAATAACAAGATACTTAAATATATCACATTACTTTTCTTAAATCAAAGAAACGCACTCTTGCAAAAGAATTAACACAAACATCCAAAAAAAGGAAAGTAAAATGATCAGAAACTACAAAACAAACTTACTACCCATAAATTTTCTTTTAAATAGATGTAAGGCACCCTTGCCAGAGTATATGTAATAAAACGTTAATTCATTTGACAACCTAAGAGACGCATATATTAATCAATGGCACCGCCAAGGAATTTGTCCACAAGATGGATCATCAATTAAAATAACATTAGGAGAATTGGAATCTGGGTTAACAGAAAATATCAATTTCTCATTGCCAACAAATAAGCAAGCTGCAGAGAGGTTAAAAGAAATAATGCTCATAAAAAAATAAAATAAAAAAGGCAACTTGAACAGCTAAGAAGAAACAGCATGTCTACCTGCAACAGTTTTTTGGTGGATAGATGAATTGTACTCGTGCCTCAGACAAGAGGGGATTTCTAGCATCTTGGAGAAATCAAAGTGCTTGCTAGTAGAATTATACCTTAGTAGATTATGTCCCATTATGAAAATTCAGCTTATAAACTCCTATTGCAAGTAAAGAGACCATAAGTTACCTTCCAGTAGATTAAGCTTTGTTAGTGGTCCATCATCCAGCAAATGAATGCGTATGAGATCTTAATTAAGATCAGAAGAAAGTAACCTAATGAATAGAGGTTCTGAGAATAAGGTTTAGAGATACACAAGAACTTTCAGCAGATTAGTTCTATCCAAATGATATATGAAGAACAAGAGAAGGATGTATAGTGCCTACCTCAGTTCATCTCCTCTAAAGAAAAATATGTTTTCAGCAAAGCTGTTAGCATAGGAAAACAGTTTCACCAATAAAGGCATTTAAATTCAAACACATGTAAGAGCAACCCAAGAAGAGAAAAAGAGACAAGATGGTCTACCTCTTGAATCTGAGAGCTTGACAGATTTCCTACACTATACATTAGTATTAGATAAACTGGATTGCATTATTATTTCCGGTATCCATGCCTAACTGGAGAACGAGACCTACTCCTTCCACGAGTCCTATCTCGTGTTACTTCTCCATTCCTACGGAGCCTTTCCCTGTCCCAGTCCCTCCCATTCCTGTATTTATTACGATTCCAATCCGATCCTCTGCCACCATCCAAGCTGCCCCTTCCAGTAAACCCATGGGATCTCTCCTGATCATAACTTCGCTCATGATATCGATCACGTTCTCTACCACTTGTTTCATTTCCTCTACCTCTATGCTCACTTTCCCTCTCCCTTTGTTTTCTCCTTTCTTCAGCTTCCTTATCTCTAGCAAGCCTTTCTTCTTCTCTTTTCTTTTCCTTGGCAGTCTGCAATTCAGCATATACCAGGCTTACAAATAATTGAAACAAGTCTTTCTTTAAGCTCAATAATGCTTGAACAACCTACAGACCTTGAACTCGTTGATAAAATCCCGCACCATTCCATACCCGATGTGCTGCTTGCCAGTTACATGAGACTGAATTCTCTCAGCAGCATCATTTGCAACCAGGAAAGAACCACATATTTCACAGAGTGCCATCTTCTTCTCCTGAGTAAGAGCCAACTTGTCATTCTGAGTAAGAACCATCTTATCAGCATTCAACAGATCCACCTGTTAAATTGTACATTGTGAAAATTATGCATATAGTAAAAAAGCACAAAAAAAGAATTCACTGGGAAGGTCATTTTTGGCACCTTCCTCATGAGCGCTTCTGCCTCATCAACCTTGCCAGCTTCTCCAAGATTCTCTATTTGTTCAAGCAACTTCTTAATTTTTTCTTCAAGAACTGATAACTGTTCTGACTTCTCGGCTGAAACCGGACCTGTTAATGGCAAATCAACCTCTTGTGCCAGCCTCTCCTGTCCACGCTTCACTTTTCTATCCAAGTCCATCGCCTGCAATAAACAAACTTCATAGCGATTGCCTCCCAATAGAGACAAAATCATTAAACACGGCTACAGAAAGCTCACCAGTTTCTCACAATATTGGGCAAGCTCGGCTTCAAATCTGGGAACATATGCATCATGTCTAGGAGATTTCTCAAAACTAAATATAATGCGCCAACAATGAACAACAAGGAAATTAGTAGACTCAATAGAACAAATACAAGCACATCAACTACTCAAATATATGAACACTTATCAACAGACATGAAAGTTTATTATCTCTCCAGTCTACTGCTTTTCCTTGCCTAAGAAAATATTATCTATGAAATAGCATAAAGACTTTCAAGCTGTTACACATACAGATAATTTCTTTTAAGTAACAATAACTAACGCATTAAAATATCATGTATCATTAGAACATCTCATTGAAAGTTTTAGAATTTGATTTAACAAATACAGTAACAGTAAAACTACAAAAAATAGATTGAGAAATGACTATTAAAAAAAAAAGAAAAATAAAATCTGTAGAAAACAAATATGGGGGGTCTGAGCATGTAGATAATATTAATGTGAAAAATAGGAAAGATAAAATGAAAAGAAGTCTTGCTTCAAGATTTATTAAAAAATTGATTAAAAACTACATGCACAACTCAATCAGAATGAATAGACAAGAGGATTTATAAAGCGAACCACAAATAATTGGGATAAGGGCTATTGATGATGACGACAATAATGATTCAGGTTACATTCAATAAGAAGTCCTTAATATACTGTAGGGAATAAAGCATTGTCAGAAGATAAATTAAATGACAGAGGTCCATATCTATATCCCTGCTATCAGCAACTGCTCAATGGTCTATGTAACATTAAGCGCCACATCCAAACAAAAAACCACTTATAAGCTTCCTTGTCTTCCAGCATCATGCAAAAGATGTTCAATAGACTCGCTACAAAGTAGATTTGTCTAATTTGGAAGGAAAGTATAATGCATACTTCAGAATTCAAAAGATCAACCATCTCTTAGTAAAATTATGTAGCTTCACAGATAAAAATATCTTGAGCATTCTGGTCATCCATACCAAAAGCAAACTCTCCAAATGTCCTATTAAGATTGTCATCAATCTAATCACCCAACCATAACTTCCAACATGATATGGAAGGTATCTATCTATCTTCAATGATTATAATAACAAATTAGCAAATAAAAAGGATATCATGACAAGCAACCTACAGCCATCTTTGTAAAATACCAATAATTACATATGATTGCCACTCAAGGTAAAAGTTTAACATTAGCAATTAGATTTGGTAATCATAGAACAAAAAAATTTGAAGGGACAAATAATGAAAATTGGAAGACTTCAACAATATGTTATATAAAATAACAAAAACCGATTTAAAAAACATGAGAAATGATAAAATGTCAAATTTATAATAAGCATTTTATTAGTTATTTTAATCATCAATATAAGATAGTCTCAAAACAACAAAATATATGATAATTATGTTCATGGAATACCATTTTAATGCTGAATACATAATCGTTGATGTGGCCATCCATCTATTCCTTTCTTTCCTAGAAGCTTAAAAGGCTACAGAGAGAATTCTTCAGTCAATATGGACATGTCTAGCTCGGACTAAAAACGAAACAGGGTACTCTTCAAAGGAACTCTGATAGGGAACTTAGAACCTCCAACAACAAAATTTAAGGAAAAAAATACAGTAGTAATAATAAATTACAAACTTAAGGAAATATGACCTAAATATACCATCCCTTACAAAACTAAATTTTAGCATTCTCCTTTAAGTTATTCATATTACATTTTTTTTAAGTTAGTCATATTACATATTAATTAATGCCTCTGTTAGTCATTTAAAGAAAGGAGTTAATATCACAAAGAAAACAAGCCTTATAAATCAAAATGTCATTCATCATCGCTATCATAATTTATCTTATTCCAATTGTCTGGGATTACTTTTTGAATAATCATTCTTGGTAGATTACTATATGAGACGTGGTAAATACATTTGCACAATTTCAACCCATGTTGCCATTGTTCTATCCCTTTTACTTCCTAAACTTTCCATTAAATAAATCTACCCACCTTATTTGGCATCTTGTGCCCCCATCAATGTACATGCCCAAGCAAACTAATTATACCCTTATCTTCAATACTTAATGCTATATCTACTCTCTAATATAATTTTCATACCATTCCTGATTTAACAAACATCTATCACACATTCTAATTTCAAGTACACTCAAGCTGGCACCTCACCCATAATATCTTTATTTCCCAACACCTGGATCAACAAAATATAGCAAATCTAAATAATCTATGTTGTTTACGTTAAAGTTGCATGATATTCTCATAACACAATGTACTCCTACGGCCTTTTTTCTACATTAACCAGTAGGATTTATATCTAGAAGTTATGTTCTAATATTTATCCCGCTTCTATCGTATATCATACTTAAACCCTTCGCCTAGGTATCAATAAAATCATCAACACCATTAATAAAAATATATCAATTCATTCACTGAGGGATCTTTTGGTTGGAGGGATTTGGAAGTCGGGGGAGTTTTAAATGCAATTTAAAACACATAAGTTGTTGGATTAGATGCAAACCAAATTTAATGAATTTCTTTCATTATTATGATGCATTTCAAGTGGTCGGTCGTGGGTGATGGTGGTTGAAGATAAGTGGTGGAGGTCGATGGCAACCTATAGCAACAACGGTTGGTGGTGGCTGGCGGAGGAAATGTAGGAGTGGCGGGCGACAATGAGTGGTTGGGGCGGCAATGGTAGCTAGGGTAGGGGTAAAGACTAGTGGCAGGAGGGCAGAGGTGACAAGAAGTAATGGGCGGAGAGGGTGATGCCCCATAAATTACTTTGAATTTATTTATCTAAAATGAACTAATTAGTGAATTCCAAATACACCGACAAATTACTTTGAATTCATTTTCCTCCAACCAAACACCAAATTTTTAAGATCTTTGGATTTATTTACTCCACAATCAAAATACTTCAAACTAAATAGCCCCTAAGATTACAAATCATATACTTAATCTTTGCTATACTAATCCTAAGGCTCACATTTTTACCTATTTCAAAACAAAACCCATCTAATACACTCAACATAAAAAAATAATACTTCACTTTGAATATATATTTAGCAAGCATAACTATAACAAATAAAAAAGAAGTGCTGCGCCTTAATGTAATCATGTTGTAGTTGTAAACTCTTTAGAATTTTGAAACTACTTTTGTTGCTAGTCAATGCTACATTATGCAACACAAGTATTTTCACCTTCATGCTACCAAATCTCTCAAAGCAATCAATCACATGCTTTTAAAAAATCAATAAGCATCATTTCAAGATCCTTTCATTTCCCTATGATATTTATTTATAATTTCCTCAAATACAAAGTATATGCTCCATATGAACCATCCTATATAAAAACTCATTGATTTCATGATAAAAATATGATTTTTTTAAGATGGTACATTATCCTCTCTCATGACTTAATATTATCTTTCATGAACATCTCTTTTTGTTCAAAATTATGGCTACCGAATGCTTCTCTAATTAATTGGCATCTACTTAGTCTTTAACAATTCATTAAAAAAATTATTTATCAAACCACTACAATTTCTTCACAACTATGTAAATCTGAATGAGTATTTGATTTGGACAAAACGCAATTGCATTTATGCAACTTCTTTAAAGCTAATTTAAAGTCACTCTTTTTGGTTACTTTGTAGTGTACTTGAAACTGCGTTTGTTACAAACAAAAATGTCAGAATAAAATATAAAGAAATTTTGTCAGAAACATAGATGAAGAAAAAAAAAACCACAAGCACAAAGTATTTAGTTAATGTTTTAAATGCTCCTAAACTTAATTCTATTTTAAAAAGGTTAAAATAGTAAAGGAAATTCAAACTTCATGGCAAAGGAAAGGCAAATGATATAGGTATTTTTAATGCAAATAAATTAGTAATATAGTAAAACATGCATGAAACATCAAAATATATTAACAAAGCAATCAATAAAAACAAAGGAATGAACAATATGGAAACAATGTAAAGAATGTAACAAAAAACAAATCACTTAGAGCATAACTGAATTTCAGTGCATGTGCATAGTTTAGCTTTGATTCGCAAAATGATATTTCAACTACATCCAATCTCATTTTTGTCCAATAAAGCTCTTTGTGACAGGAAGAAGCATAGGATAAAATGGAAATGAATGATATGAACTAGCATTGGTGCCTTTAAAATGAATAGATGAAGCCAAAAGAATTTTAGTTTTGGAGACCATGACCCAAGCATGCAATATTGTTAGTTGGACAGAAAACAAATTAATCGAGCAATAATTGCCATGTGGCAATCAGGAAAAAAAAAGATGCTGTTCAATTACTGTGGCGACAAATCTTGCTTACCTTTAACTAACTGGCACAATAAAAAAATCAACATTACAAGTTAATCAAGAACCTTATACAACAATACTTCTCTTTATGACTTATGAGGTCCAAACCAAGCAGCCTAATCTAGAAGAAAGCTAGATGACGCAAAATATTTCCTCATGCACAGAAGAACCATAATTCATATTAAAAAATTAACCACACTAGATGTTAAATAGAAACTCGATACCCAACAAACCAAAGCATTTAAAAAATTCAAACTGCTAACATGCATCGAGCATGTATAAGTCATCATCCCTGTGTAAAAATGTTTAAATTTAGATCAAGGACAGTAAGAAAAACAAAAGGAAGCTGTGTCCTCAGAAAGAATCCCAGAATACACCACCAGCACTAAACTAACAAGAAATAAAGTTGATATATCCATCTACCAATTCATAACACATTGAACCTAAAATTGTGGAAGCAATAATGCAATACTTCAGTTGATTACATGTTTCCAAAAAATATAATTCAAAAAATTTCTGGTACCTCTCCTTGAGCTTCAGATCGTGGATCTTAGGGCACAGTCCTGTCATAAAATTGGATAAAAAATCCAAAAAGTTGAGATATCAACAGCAAGAAATGAAAACCTAAGAAGCTGAAAGGGCTCACCGAGATCACTCTTCGTATTTACAAATAGATCGTGAGGGCAGAAGCGGACCATGAATGGTCCACAGACCTCCCTATCATCCCAATGGATTTCCCGGTAATCTTTCTTCTCTTCCTCTGTTAAATTACGAGCTGCGAAGAAACAAGAGAGTGAGCAAAGCCGGAGAGCCATAAAGGCAGAACGATGAAACGCTCTAGGTTTACCTGCTCCCATGAGCTCATCAAGAAGAGCTCTTTGGGCGTCCATGGAAGCCGACGGGTATCACAAAGACTGAAGAGCAAATATTGTCGATGTCAATTAGGGCTGGCGAGTTCGTTAGGTTTTTTGCTGGATGATACAAATGAGCTCCGTAATACGGTAGCGCACGAGCCACACGTCGCCTAGTTTATCCCTATATTATGCACGGAAGGACAACTAAAAATGCTTTTAAACGAAAACGAACGGTTTGAATTTTCTTCACCATAAGATCTTAACCATCCATTTTACATTTTTCTTAAATTATTTTATTGATTCATTATATTATATATAATTTATAAATTAAAAAAATAATGCTTCTACTATTTAATGCCCCTTAGGGCATTTCCAACCGAACTCTAAACGCTCGAATGATGTTCTTGGTCAGCTCCAACCGAACGGCAAAATTTTCGCTATTTGACTGCGAGTGAACAGTAGGGCGCCAATATTGTCATTGCACTGTTCATCTTCGCCATTTTTACCTCTACCAAACTTGCGGCGGGAAAGAAGAGGTGACCATTACCTGCAAAAGGGTAAAAAATGAAGTTCAATTGGAGATGAATCACAGCATTTTGCAATGTCAAGGCATTTTCGAGTGAAAAATGAGATTTTTTATTAGAGATGTCTTACATCTCATACTAAATTCATTTTAATCTATTTGAACGCTTCATCTATTTTATTTAACGTAGATCTCTATTTAAAATTGTGCAATAAGAGGCATACGCAATTCCTCTCCTAGCTGAGGCGTACGCCTCACTTGGACTGAGGCGCGCCTTAGAGGTGCAATTGCGTAATCCTGGCAGAGGCGTACGCCTCATAGAAACGGCCCCACCCACTAAAAATGAAGACTTTTTCTTCCTTGATCCCACACGGCACCCAGTTATCCTGAAACTTTCATTCCCGTAGGCTGAGTTAGCGAAACAAAGAGCTTCCCGCACCCGTCGGCTTCCCTTCCCTCCACCTCTCCCGCCGACGCCGCCTCTCTCCGGCAAAGTTGAAGTGTCCGGCCGCCTTCTAGGAGTACTCCACAATCGATTTTAGGTATTTTTTTTTAAGTACAGTTACACTGTCATCTACATGCAGCGGCATATTATCTCAATCCCCAATTTCAATATTCAGAGAATAAATCTTCAAACCCGAATGTGAAGCTTGGTCTGTATCATTGTATGGAACGACTAATATCAGAGCAGACAGATAGGGAGCTTGTAGATTTACAACTTATTCTATTTCGGAATAAAGGGAATTTTTTGGGTCTAAATACAGCAAAATCAACCATTACCAAACGTCTATAGGTATAGTTATTTTGGTAAATGCAAGACACTTTATTCAGTTCTGATTATCTTTTTTCTTCTTGAAAATAGTTGAATGGTGGATCCAATTTGGTGATTCCACCCCAGAGTTACAGAGTTTTGCTATAGGAGTGTTGGGCCTCACTTCTTCTTCTTCTTCTTGGTGTGAGCGAAACTGGAGTACATATAGTCAAGTGCAAACAAAGAGAAGAAATCAACTATCAACACTCAGAATGAACTCCCTCGTATATATTTTGCACAACAAGAGGTTAAGATATAGGAGGTTGAGAAATAAGAGGTTGAAGGATGATGATGACCCATTGGTGAGTGATGATGTGTCATCTGATAATGAGTGGTTCATAGATGATGAGACATATTTGCCATTATTAGACTTACAGCTAGAGAATCTAAGTATGGATGTCTTGAGGGGCGAAGCAGATCAAGTGGGCACATCCACTAGTACCACACCACACACATTCACTAGCTCTGCAGCACAACAATCAAGTAAAGGTATTCCACAACTTCTTATATGCTATTGCATTATATTTATATCAAGTGAGTAATTAACATGATAATGATCTTTTCTCTTATTGAACAGGGAAGAGAAAAGTGAGTCATATTAAAGATGATGATGATATGAGATTCATAAATACAATTGGAGAAGAAGATTCCCTTGAAGACCCGTTTAGTGATGGGATATAATTGCATTTTATATGTTCTTTGTACTTTGGGAGTTTTGTTAAACTAATATTTTGTGATTTTGTATTTTGGGACATGATTTTATTGCATATATTTTCTTACTTTCCACTATTTTCATATATCATTTAGATGTTTTTATTGTAAGATAGAATATTGCTATTATTTACCAGCTAAAACCATTAATTTCTCATTTACGCAATTCTGTGTCCGGGAGGCTTACGCCTCAGACCGTCTCGAGGGTTACGCCTTGCCTCACAGACGAAAACTGCCTCGAGGCTTAATTACGTAATTTTAAACCTTGACATAGATATGAGTTAATGTTTTGTTTAATTAATATTTTGTTTACCTAATTCTATACTAATATTAAATACCCGCTTGTGATTCTTCCCTCAGCGATTATTTTATCGAAAACTATTTTAACGTAAATCCAAACGATCCAAGCTCAACCCTTCGTATTCCTACTTTCAACCCTTTGTATTACCACTTTCAAATATATACCTTCCAACTCTTTGTATGCACTTCCCCGGTTCCCCATGCTTGCATAACCCGTCCATCTGCTAGTGTAACACTATGGCTTCTTTCTTCGTCGAATGGACGTGTGAGAACCCGCCTGCTTCCAAACTCTATTTCGGTTGAGAGAGAGGTATGAATCTTCTTCTTCTTCTTAATTTTTTTTAGGTCTCAATCTTATTCTTCTTAGATCAAAAATGTTTGGAGATATAACCTCTTTGTGATTCATTAACTATGAATCTTATTCTTCTCAGATCAAAATTATTTTTTTTTGTAATGATTCAAAAAGAGTAAAATGTAATGATTTTTTTAAAACAAATTTATCTAAATTTATATTGCTATCTTTTTCACTTATATTGTCAATAATAAGTGAAAAAAGGTAAAATTTTAAATATTTTATCAATTAAAAATATTTCATTTTTTTATTATTTTTTAAAATTTTAGTTATCTTAAGAAATTAAATTTTAAACTATTTTATCATATGGAAAATTTAATAGTTAAATTTACGCAAGCTAAATAGTAAATATTTTACATGTTATAGATAATAAAATTTTCAATCATCTTCACAAAAGAGCATATAAGACGGCTTTATATGCTCATTAATTTTAATATAATGATTTTTTTTAAAACAAATTTATCCTGCTATCTTCTTCTTATTATTATCTTTTTCACTTATATTGTCAATAATAAGTGAAAAAAGGTAAATTTTTAAATATTTTATCAATTAAAAATATTTCATTTTTTTATTATTTTTTAAAATTTTAGTTATCTTAAGAAATTAAATTTTAAACTATTTTATCATATGGAAAATTTAATAGTTAAATTTACGCAAGCTAAATAGTAAATATTTTACATGTTATAGATAATAAAATTTTCAATCATCTTCACAAAAGAGCATATAAGATAGCTTTATATGCTCATTAATTTTGTTTAATTAATTATTTATATTTTCATTATCACATGCATAGCTTCGTGGAGAGCGAATCGCATAAAGGATGAAAGCTCTGCAATAACTCATGCCCAATGCAAGCAAGGTAGAAATGGAAGTGAAATTTCTACATAGATTATTGTAGTTCAACACTTGAGCTCATTGTGAAATTTATTTACAATATTTAAAATTATTTTAAAGTACTGCCTGCATAGCAAAAATTTCATTAATTGTATTCCTTTTGATAATTAGATAACAAAATAACTGCTCAACACTTGGCCTTCTAAGCCTGTAAGATGAAAATCCCAATTCAAAAATCAAATATAGCTGAATTTATCAAAATTTAATTGAAAACCTAGAAAAGGCAACCGTAGAGTTATAAGACTAAATTCCTTATGTTAAAAACTTCTTTTAAGAAAGGTTCAAAACTTATTTTTATTGTATCATGTCATGATTAATTTGTTTCCATAATTCCATGCTGGGATAAACTTTAATTCTTGCATAACTTATTTCAACTTAGCTTGTTGATGATTTAGTTGTTTGAATCTAAGTTATATTAGAGCTTTTAATTGTTTAGAATGATATTTATAATATAAATTCAAAATAAATTTGATAAATGCATTTATTTGACTGCTATTTCAATGTTAGAAATACACTGGCATGCATTTGAACTAGGCTTATCAATTTATTCCATTTATTTAGAAAAAAATTAATTTAGTTTTACATTAGGTATTCATTAATATTTACTTATGTGAATAATATTAAAATAGAAATATTATTTTAATTCAATTAGGCTTGTTACAACCTTTAGATCAACACATTATGATTAAATCAACTTCACTCTCTTCTTTCTCAACATATCATTCTCAAAATATAGAGAGGGTCATTCGAAAAAAAAAAATTACTATAGCTGGAGGAAAATGAACAATTATTATAAGCTCAATCATGATTATTAAGCCTTCTATTAAAACCTTGAATTAAATAGTTTAATTAATCCAATATTGAATAAGTTCAAATGTCATCTACTGTTTTAGATAACATACTATTTTAAAATACAAGGCTATGAGAATATGATATCACAATATAATGTATTTTTGATATAATAATATTTTTAGTAGATAACAATAATGTTTAGATAATGTTTCACTATGTATTTTTACATATTAATATTAAATTGCTTTTTTATAGTATATGAGAACAATTTTTACTAATGTATATTATATATTTAAACTCAATAAAAAAGATGCCAATGCTTTTAATAGATACAATAGTGAAATAAGAAATATTAAACTAACCAAATATAATCTCTTACACATTATATTAACTATAGCTATTACTCCTCAGTTATTAACTCTTTAAAATCAATTATTAACTATACTAATATTAAACTAATGTAAACCAAAGTTATAATTGGTCAGTTTATAATTATATTAATTTATCTTACTTCAAAGTCAGATTAATATTAATTGTTAAATGTTTAGTAGCATTTTTAATATTTGTATGTTTTCATAATAATATTAAACTAATAATAGCATTATCAATAATTATAGTTTAATCTATACTTATACTATAAAAGTAGCTTGTTTTTCTTCATACATAACTCTACAGTAAGATTATCAATATACTCTAATAAATTGATTATTTCACATATAATTTATATTAAATAAGTGAGTATTTTTTAGCTTTAAGATTTTATATCACATTTAAGAACTGGTAGCGCTCATCC